GTCAATAATCGAGCAAAATTCAAATGTATTAGTTAACTAATTAAGATATTTATTATTGTATATAAATAAACGTTTCGTGACCACAGGTCACTTCTCCAGCATAAACAATTAAATCGTTAATATAAAATTGTCAATTTTGACATAACGCAAAAAAATAATGTAATCGCTAATGTAATATTATTGCCGCAAAAGATGTGCTGGTTTTGAGCTCCATGTACATAAAGTAATTGTGAACGTTGTACATACTGATTGATAGTTGAAAAGTAGGTATCAAATTCTTGATTTATAATTGTCAATTAATTTTAATTGATTGGTCATTAATATTTTGTTGTTGAGCGAAAATCCGATGACAATCAAAGTCGGTAATGTAAAAGTTGTATTGTCAATCATCGATAATTTGTTGAACTATTATATGTATTCATTTAAATGAATTAATTTCAGAAATTATAATTGCCGATATGGTTATCGAACTTTCAACGCACAATCAATCTGAAATATTAAATTATATAGAACACAGAGACTGTCTCGGTGATCTAAAGGTTTAAGACGCTCGCACGGAATGCAAGAGATCCGGGTTCGACTCCCGATCGAGGCAAAATTTTTCGCAATAAGTTTATTATAATTTTTTAAGATTAAATTTGAGAAATTTGGAGGAATTATTAATATTTCAGATTAATTGCGTTGAAAGTTCGACAATCGTATCGGCACGCAATTCGCTTTGACTCCTTAGATTCTGATGTATTGTAAGTTTTTGATTCTTTTTTACAAAATTAACTGCATATTTTTCTTTTTTTTAAATAACTATTAGATTAATAAACTGTAATTTAATATTTTTTTTTAATTATAATATACAAAAATATATATTTTATTAAATTTTTATTATACATAATATTCTTATTCTATTCCACTCGTTCCCTCTCCTCTATATTAAACCTATTCAATTATGTATATATCAACCTATTTTAATATTAATGCCAGAAACATTATTCATTAATTTCTTAAATAAATTTATAATTTACTACTTTAATCAGACATGGCATTAACCTCCCCCTTCCTTCCTATAATTCTGTGCACCACTTCCTAATTTTACGTCTATATTTTAATCTTCTAAAAGGATTTTCAATTCCAATCAATTCGGAGATTTTTATACGACTGTGATATCAATAATTTGGTCACTCTAGTATCTCCTTAATATTATTTAGATTGTGTAAAATTTAGATTTAAAATTATTTGTATAAATTGTATTTTCAAATATCTGAGAAAGCTAATATCATAGAGTCACATTCATTCATTCATTCTCTCTCTCTCTCTCTCTCTCTCTGATTCACTCACTCACTCACTCACTCACTCTCTTTTTCTCTTTCTTTCCGGGTTGCCTGAGTTTGCCAGGTCTGACGCGTATTACTACTCCTACGCAGCGGATGCACGTCAATCGGCAGCGCTGACGCGTTTCCCTCGCGCGTGCCTCCGCATGACGAACTTAGATTAATTTCCGATAGTATCACTGATTTGCATGACAAGAGTTTGATGGTGAATGTCACAATAGTCAGCTTAAGACATCGCTTTAAGATCTTATCGGCGTGTCCCTTTTATCAGCAATGGAGTTTTCAAGGAATCTCATCATTAGCAAGAAGACTGATAATTAGAGTGTTAAAAAACTGCTAAAACAAAAAATGTATTTAACGCGTTGATGAAATTCGTTGTGACGAAGATATTAATTTTATATATTTTTAATATAAATCGCGCGCGCGAAAGAATAGTTTATTTATTTTTATAAGTCATAAACATTATTGGAGAGAGATACGAAAAAAAAACTTGTAAAGACGGCTATTAAAAACATAAATGTCAATCTTTATTATCAACATGTTATTAATTTTGATACTTTTAATAAAAATACACAAAATATTATAATATATAAATTAAAATTAAAAAAAATCAAGCTATATTTATCATAATAGACCAATGTGCCAGTAACAAAGCATCAACAAGTTCAATCATTTTAATTAACAATTCCAATTAGTTAATTAAAAAAATGTAGATACTTATTATAATTCTTTAGTAAGAATCACATTGGCGTAATTTAATTAATTCGTAATTATAATGCACTGTTAAACGTCGGATTTGACTTCAAACAGAACCATCCGGAAAAGGTACGCATAAGATTCAGCCATGTGTGCATTTCGAAAAGTAAAAATCTACATCGTATATCTACTAGTGGATTTAGCCAATATTTGCTGCTAGGTGCACCGTCTGCGATCGATGCAATTACGTATCCGTAACACTCTCATTAAAAGCGTGATATTCGACTAATTATGGAATAAAAGGGAAAGAAAAAGATGAGCTCAGCAGAAAATGATTGCCACTCCTACCTGCAGGTTCTTGAAATGATGAGAGCCGCAAAGCGAGCTCAGGAATCTGCTCAGAGCGCATTTCCGCGTGTGCTGAGTGATCCCTACGTTCGTTGCAGCTTCTGTCACAGACTCTCTTCCAGTTATCGGTGCTACACCGATCTCCGATCCTCTAGCCATCTGCGAACAGACCGACGAGATTCTTTGAAGAATAGAATATTACGTCGTAAAATGTATTCATTTTTGAGACGCAGATTACAATAAAAATTATCTTTAATTTTATATAATAAATTAGAAATATATATTTACAATAACGTGTAAATTTATACCGAAATATTATTTAGGCACTAAAGATCTAGCTTGGATTTAAGACTTTAGTAAATAATAGCTGTGTATTCACATTTGAGTTATAACAGTTTTAATATTTTTTAAAATCACCTTTTTTGTATTGTAATGTTTGTCGACGACTTTTTACAAAATTAATTTATTTTTGAAAATTAATAGAGTAATGTTTACTTAACTCTTTCATGATAATAACTTGAAAATCACGTTTTTTATAGTTGTGTTATTTTTGAAGTAAGGAAACGATATCGTAATTCTGTCAATTTCAAGTTATAAAATATTATTCTTCACAAACAAGACACAAATAATTCTCAAACTATCATTAATCATTAAAAGTAAAGTTTTTTTTTTATTAGGAATTAAAATCTGAAGATAGAAAGATAGATATTTGAATGTTACTTTACAAGTACAAAATATGCGTGGTTGAATGTTAGTTACGGACTTTTATTTGCAAATATATTGAAAACGAGTATATTTGAAGCTAGTAAAAAATGATGATGCAAATATTATCACGCTGAACGTTACGTCGTTCATGTTTCGGTTAATGGTTCAGGGTACCCGTTAGTATCGCTATGTCACGATTCGTCGCGCAAACAGTACAGTACATGGTGAATAAATGTGATTTAACGAAAGGCACACACTACAGTCGACGAACGTGTTCGCTGGTGTTTGTCCGTAATACGATAATCGCTGCCTACCCCAGTGCGATTGTTTGTACATACGTCGGCCGCGAGCAGTTTCCGTAGCAATAATTCCTGTTCCGAGGGAGATCATGAAATATGCGAAATACATATGAAACGTGTAGCCGTGTGAGCGGAAAATTATTACGATTTGTTTATTCGTCCCGTTTTCTATGATATCGCGATTTTTTTCTGTTCAGACTCCATAATGTATTCACGAGGATTGCACCGTTTATTTTCGACGGTTCGTCACGCAAAAAATCACAATTTTGATGAAGACAACTCGGTCAGTTCGTGAATTACGGCATGATGAATAACAAAAATTTCGTCCGCAAATTCAATATAGCAACGTGAATGTAAAAAAAGATCTGTTCGCGTTGCTCGAAATCATAAAAAATTATTGCATTTAAAACGGGATAAACATTTAATATTCGAGTGTTGAAGAGAAAGAAAAAAAAATGCTAACATAAATGCAAAAAGTGCAAGCAACGCGAATCTAATGTGACCAAAAAGTCAAATGAGTTTCATATCGACAGAGAATCAGACTTTATTGATAAAGTTCAATATCGGGGAATGCACACACGAAGGCCTCCCTCCACCTTGAAAATTGAGCGGTTGCATCAAAGAGAAAGAGATCTGACAAAGTGGTTTCGTCTTTCCGCACAGTTTCCTGTTTCTTCGTTTTACCTAGTGATTTCTACACCTTTTGCTAGAGACTCGGTCGCGGTAATGGAGAAACGTGATGCGCGTGTGTACCACATGGACGTATCACTCATATACGGTCACGTATACGAGCAGTTGTTAATAGAATGTACTCTTTCTCGCAGATGTTTGACATTTTACCCGGTCATCCATTAAGGACGCAACGTGCTCCAATATCGAAAGTTATGTTATCCATGGATAATAATAACTTGTCGGAGAATTTGCCGAAATATCGAAATTGTAACATATAACTCTACTTTTTCAATTTAATCATCACTTATAGTTAATTAAATTATTAATCTTACACAAATTGCGAGTATCATCTTTTTCTTCACAATTCAATTAATTTTATTGAAATTAATAATCATTTTGTATGAGTCTCGAGAAAATGTTCTATCTTAAAACAGAAATCTATATTACATTTTTTTAAATATAATATATAAATCTGCGGATAGCAAATAAAATTTAATAAATGTCGAGGAAGTATATGTGAATACATATTTGTATAAACCCTGTAAGAGTTGAGTAATACATTTTTATAACAGTCACTTTAAAATTACATTTGGGATAAATTCGAGATTAATGGAAGATTAATGATTCAAGATCTGTGCAAATTAGTTACATAACTGAAAATGGAAATGTATATAGTATTGAACAATGAAATAAAAATCGCTGAAAAAGTTATACATCGATATACATTGATATAGAATAATAATAGATTCATTTCCAAAAAATTTTTGAGCAAAATCAATTTAAAAAATGATTTCTTTTATGACAAAGTGATGATATTTTTAGAAAAGGTTAATCATAAATAATTATCTATATTGGATATTAATATCTATTAGCTATATATATATATATATATCGTCGCTCGCTAATTATAAATATTCATTTGACATTATTCAATAATTAAAAAAATTAATTAGCGCTATGAGACACTTGCTACTTAATGAATGACGTAAAGTGCATAAAATTATAAAATTAATTCGACCTACTCATTTATTTCTTACAAAATTCAAGTAGTTTTCTAAAAAGTGCACACTACAAAATTCCAGTAGTTTTTTAAAAAGTATACACTGCAATTCTTATCACATCAATTTAATAGTATAATTTAGAATTTTATTTCATTCTATGTCTATGCTAATTATTATATAGCGATTCATTCGAAATCATCAAGATTATATCATTAAATAGTATAAAGTAGTTCTTGTCCTCTGACATTTCTGACGTTCAAAAATGTTCTTCATTTCTAACATTTTATGTAGCTATATTATTTTACGTCAAACTTGAAGAATAAAATTTATTCGGTGGCCATAATTTATTCCATAGTAATCCATTTTATAAAACGCTAAGACTCACCGTGATAATGGAAGGACGTGGCGCGCCGGTGAAGTGTTCGATGACCTCCCAATTGGATTTCTTGATAGGCGGGGTGTGCGGCGTTCTCGGTGTATTAGGGGTGTGTGGCTGTGAGGATGGTGTAGAGGCTTTGGAACCCGACGTATTAAACAGCAACTCAACGCGAGGTTTACTGCCGTCATGACTACTGCTCACATGTTGCCTGAGGCTTGCCCATCTCCTGGTGGACCTGGCTCCGCTTATTCTATGCCCGATTTCGCCCTGGGGGAAAAGGTCACAATCATTCAGCTGACAAAATTATACTCTCCATGATTAATTAATCGCGAAATTTCTCTAAAAACTATATTTGTGATTTCATGTATCTTCTTTTATTTAAAAATAACCAAGAATTCTAAACTTATTTTACTGATAATCAAAACTTGATTTTTATAATACTTCATTTTCTTGAAGAAACAATTATCTATTGTATCTATTGTATTATTATTAAGTACCAATAACTTATTTTTATATAGCAGCTAAAACATAGAAGTTTTTTTTTTGAAAAAAATAAATGAAAACGTAATGTATAATTAATTTGTTGTAATGACTGCAGACTATATAAATAATTTACATATGAATTTATATGTAAATAACATTTTTTATTGACATTTTTTAAATAAAATATTTTTATGTACCTTAAAATATGATCTGTCAATAATATTTATTACACTTTACTTAATATTTAATAATAAGCTTGAAAAGCTTTAACGAAAAACTGATAGAAAAATAATTATTCTGATGCCATTTAATTTAGATATAACTTCTCTGTTTTACCGGGAAAGATATTTTAAGACATTTTTAATTTCGGATCAGGAGTGTTGTGTCACAGAGACGCTATTATTTATGTCGCCTTAGGCGTCGAAAGTATCTACTTGGCTCTGTTCAAAGGTAAAACATCTCAAGCAACGTCAAAAGAAAGTCGACACCCGTTACGTAAATTTTCGTAACTTTGCGCGGAAATTGCAGTACGAAGAGAACGTGTAAGCACTACGTTTTTGCACCACAATACATGAAAACTACGTCAAAATTCCCTCAAAATCTTCTTTCTAACTTGAGCACGTCGCTTGTCCCTCTCGTCTTCATGTCCGAGATTACAAAAATATCTTTAAAACATATATTTAGAACGTAAATACCACGATATACCTAAGATCGTCTTTCTGCATCCAAGATTACAAAAATATCTTCACAACATACTCAGGACGTAATAAATATGGCATAATAATATACGTACTGCATAAGCATTAAAGAATGTTGCAACGAGATACGACTTCCCTTGAAGCAAAGTTTCCGCGAAAAAAAGAAGTCGAGTAAACTTGAAGTTTCTCGAGAAACTCGTGTTCTTAAAACGGAAATGCAGAACCGGACGATGGTACATACTCTCTAAACCGGAAGGCTTATTGTCGGCAAGTGACTTGTTACGTGGTAGCGTAAACCGCACGTCAGCTGTCAGACATTTCATTCTAGTTATCGTCCAATATACGTGCGTTTGCTCCGTCGTCTTCGTGTCGTCATGGTTTGCCATGAAAACGCGACGCGAGTCGTCGATGCGGAAAACGGCAGGCGGTAAAACTCGCAAAGCGGAGCTCACCTTTTTTCAGGATCGATGAACGTGACAACCCCGAAATGGATCTGCGGGAATGGGAACGGGAACTGAAACTGCGACCGTAAATAAGCCGCATCGCTCTCGTTTTGCTTACCACGTCTTTCTCTCGCGGAACGAAGCACTTCACCCCGTTTTCAATGCGGCCTCTCGATGCCACGTTTTGCGCAGCCATCCATATATCTGTGCATGCAGCCGGGAACAAGAGTACGCGAGAGAGTCCTCGTATGTCGTGTGCAGTCACTATTGTGCGCAGTCTTGCGTAAATACGCATGATTGTCGCCTTATTACGGCGCATAAACGACCGAGAGTAGATTCGCGTTAAATTATTCGTAGCGCATTTAATGACACTAGTACGGCAGAGAGGTGACTCTGTAGGTACTTCTAATTTAGTTCATATTCTATGTGCTAAACATTAAATTAGAATTTGATCGCTCCATTAAATTTTGTAGGCCTGTGTAAAAGTAAAAACTCTATTTTAGAGTATTAATCTTAGGATTGACAAAAACTAATGTTTTTTTTTTATAAATCATTACGTTTCTTCTTAAATGTATTTTTTATGCTTTAAACAGTATTAGAAAAAAATTCATTTAAAACATATTAAAAACATCAATTAAGTATGTTTTAAACTGTTTTAAACATGTTTTTTCATCAACCCTGATTTTACAAGGGAACACAACCAAGTGAATCTTTTCGGTTTAAATGAGCTTTTAGTATGTTGTTCTATGGACAGAAATAGGAGATACGTATTTTTTACACGTGCTGAGTCGCATGTTAAGGGGGTGAAATTCTGAAATCCTCCCTTGAAAAAAATCGGTTTTTTTTCTTTCAGAGCCGATTATCGCCGAAACTGTAAGAAATAGAAAATAATTTTCAGAATGAAAATTGAATGGCTGCAAGAGTACTTTAGAATTATAAAAAATATTTTTTTAAATTATTTATTAATAATAAAATT